GTGTTTCCAACTTATTTGGAAACACCACGCGTTGAGATACACAGGGTGTACAGCCATCCTGTGTTGCATCAAACACAGTACACAAAACCATTGTTGACTACAAACAAGAGTGACTGCTCGAGAAGAAACGGACAAGAAGTCCAGAACCTGGAGAGAATGGAAGTTAGATCTGGTCGATTAGACTTAGATCTGGATCGCCGGCGGGCGTTAAACGTAGAAAGGCTGTCCGAAACACAGGGTGTTTCGGAAGCAAGGGAGACATCTTCAGATCGCCGGCGGGCGTTAAACGCAGAAACGTTTTCCGAAATACGGAGTATTTCGGAAATGAAGAGGAGTCGCCGGCGGGCGTAAAACGCGGAAATGAGACTTCCCGAAACACTAGGTGTTTCGGAAGTGAAGAGGACGACATCAGGGACGAGTACCTGGAAGATGGGTACTCCGACGTGGGATGCGTTTTCGATGGGTCGCCGGCGGGCGTAAAACGCAGAAGCGAGGAAGAAGGAGAGGTCGTCCGACGCCAGGCGTCGCGACGCCCCCAGGTCTACACCCTTAGCGGTGCCTGGGAGGGAGATGTTCGGTGCACAGGAGCGCCTTGCATCTCTCGTAAAGGTGCTAGCGGAAATGCTAGGGGGAGGTGGAATGCCAGGGGGGCATCCTGAAGCAGTTTGTAGCTTGGGGATGTCTTCATGGCGGGCGAGGTTGCTCAACCAAATCAAAAGATACAACGAGCTAGTCGACGCAACAAAACGACCTCCCGTCGAGCTCGGACAGAGTCTGGGTCCCGAAATCCCTGGGACTCAGGTCCGGGAGGCCAGCCGGCCGTCTCGACGTCTTGAGGCGGTAGCTGAAGTGTATTGCGGAGTCGGCGTTGCTGAGCACGCCTCCGCGCACACTGAAGCACATGAGTCGTGGGAAAAGGACGTCCAGTATACCCGGCTGGACTACGAGTTCCACCCGAAAGACCCCGCCGCACAAAGTTTTGGAGGACAGGATATTCCAAAAACCTTCACCATAATTGTGATTTCGAAATTTCACTGAATTTTATACTGACTAAATATAATTTCGCTGGATGAGTATTTTTAATTTACAAGCACTGCGGCCTGATGTAAATTTTTGGTATTTTAGTGACCAGAAGGAAGTCATTTATTTGTAGCAAATATGTTTTTCCTTCAAATGAAACACTTTTTTCTTATTTTGGATATAATTAATTACGTATATTATTCCACTTCCGATGAAAATATTCATTTGAATGTTTTTTCATATCCCCCAACTATCTATGTGACTACTTGCCCCAGATACTGTGACAACCATCCCCGGCCCGGGGTTAAAAGTCACAGTTTTCTTTTTTCACATAACAATTGTTATATTCCTCTATGGATGATATTTGGGAAAACAGAATATTTTTTCAAACGAGTATAAAAAAACTATCTATTGATAAAAAAAATATCATTGATAATTCATAAGAAGGGACACTAAAGATGCAAAAGTTGCTTGGTCTGACCTTCACACTTGTGATCCAGTAGGTCATCATAGTAACATCATAAGTTATGTTCTGCAACTGCACCATGCTCACAAAGTCTCACTGTCACATCAGGTCCAACTTCTCAGTGAAGCCAGTTCAGAATGAGCTTCGGGTCTAGCCTCTCCAAATCTCATCTCATCTCCAAATAAGTTCTGCGATCACTGTACAAATGTTCGTTACTAGATTTCATTTGTATATCACTGTACGCTTACTTTCAGCTGCTAATTTGTTATTTGTATATTGACGAACGTTTGCCTTCCACCGAATGAATCTATATCGCTTCTCCTACTTTGCATTGATATAGGAGCATACTATTAATTCATCAGACCTCTTCTGAGAATAACGTGAGATCTTTATCGTTTCTAACAGTCCAATTGCAAGTTTACCCTCTCCAACTACATTTCTATTTTTTCGAAATCAATTTCCAGTAACCTATATCTCTTCGTTCTCTACCATGTCGATAACAGCCGAAATACCAATTTATTCTATAGATTATTTGTGAGTTCAAAAATCGCTCCCATACACTGAATCTGAGTTGGTTTAGTTATACTTGCTTATATTACTCTTGTCCATATAATATTGCCAGTGGTTCCACGATCATCTGGTTATCATCCTGATTCCGAAATGATATGTTATTACTTCAATTCTTAACAAAATTCTGAGCACCTGAAAAAGTCCAAAAATATAAACATTGAACAACTGAAAAGTTTGGTGGAAAAAGTATCTCATATGGAAATGGAAGTTTAAATATCAGATATTTCGATGGGAGCTCTGCCAAGAAACAGTATTGGTAAAATAAAAAAGGAAATGAATTCACAGAACTAATTTGGAATATTGAATTCATGAGTTCCCAATGAGGAGACAATCTTTTTTCTTTCTACTGCTGCTAAGATATATACTTTCATTCAACTATGAAATCCTAGCTAGTTTAATTTCACTCATTATTTCTGAATCTAAAAAGTTATTGAACATATGAAATTCCAGTAAACTTTTTCATTTTGAATCTTGTTTTGATAAGATTTTTTTTGTTATTTCAGTTACTCCGACAGCAATAGAACCAATTTCAGGATGGTCAGACAACCTTTATGGGCCTCTAGGTATTCTACTTTCATCACATTGTGGTATACTGAGAGTGATTCGTGGAGATTATAATCTAAAATCGCATACGGTACCTGGAGATATGTGTATTAATGCTCTTCTCTGTTTTGCCTGGGATCTAGATAGAAAATGGTTTGTTTATTCAATAAATTGATGGATGTAGCCGTTACTATGTGGTAGGAGATTATGATGAAAAGAGAAATGAAAATTTCTATGTTTTTCACCACTTTTATTTGTAACTAACGTTACGTTGAAAATGTCCATATAGGACGAAACTGCAGTAACGTTAGTTACAAATAAAAGTGGTAAAAAACATAGAAATTTTCATTTCTCTTTTCATTTGTTTATTCATCTTGACAACTTTTACGTATATTCTGTAGAAAAATAATTCCAGCTGGTACCTGATGAGATATGTCAATATTGAATATTTTACTTTCAAAGTTACTGGTCTAGTGATCCTTATGACAAATAAGGGATGAGTTATTATCGTGAAAATTTCGGTGCTTTATTCATTCAATTGTTGTGTTCCACAAGTGGTCTAGAATGAATTTCAAATATATTAGTGGGTGAACAAATTTTTCGAAACAAGCTTCGACACAGTTACATTTCACAATTCCTGTGATATGAAATCTTGATTTTTTTTCAAAAATGTTTTTCATCGTCATTTCATTTTCATTGACAATAATTTTAATTGTAATTGTCTTATAGCGTTATACTAATTGGTATTAGCCAGGGAAGTAGTTGTTTTCTGATAGGCGTCAGTCCATTAAACCTACTGTGTAGGTATATGGAGACTGGCCTGAATGTTTAAAGTTCATTTGCTTTTGATTTTTCGACTGCCAGTCTTCAAGCATAGTCCACTGACTAATAAGAAAGTTTTTCTTCCTTATTCAGAGGAATCGGGAAAACTACGGATATGCAGTTGGTTAGTACCTCGTCCACTAGATGAAGTGACATTTTGTGATGTTCGCTCCAACTTCGGAAGAGGAATGAAATACTCTGAAAGAATTCCGATTTTCAATTCTGGAATATCATTGACTTTAGGTCGATGATGGTCACTATCTTCCACTGACGAGTGGCTAATGAGCCCGAAACCGGTCTGCAAGTGTGCCCGTTCCAAAATTGAGGGTCGACTCTTTCAGTTGTATTGCCAATTGCATAGCCAGGGGAGTAGTTGTTTTGTTATAGGCGTCAGTCCATTGAACCTACTGTGTAGGTATATGGAGACTGGCCTGAACGTTTAAAGTTCATTTGCTTTAGATACTATAGTATATCACTTGGTCTCCAGATGATTCTGAGAGTTAGGAGACTATATAACATTTTGTCCAGAAGTCTCCTGTCAATTAGGAGTCAATGGCATTTCTCGATAGTTTCTTTTTGTTTCTATTCATAAATTAACACTGGCCGATAACTTTGACTTTTTGTATATCATAAATATTTGTTCTTTATTCCTTTTTTTTTCAATTCCTGAAAATTCATTCCAGGAAATCTGGGAAAATATCACCACCTGTCATGAACTTTTCTGCCAAAAATACTAAACTGTTAATACCAATGAAACAATACATCAAGTTGGGAATGATCGATTACGCCCCATTTAAAAAAGCTATTTGGTACCAAATGCTGTTCATGATAAAAAACAAATACGTTTATGATTTCATGAAATTTCTGTTGCATACTATACCTGCGTATCTGATTGATGCAATGTTGATTATATCCCTGAGAAAGCCAAGGTGAGAATCATTTTAAACAATAATTAATGTGATTCATATAAAAATTTTTGATTTTCTGCAATATTTCATCAGTATTATTTTAATTTTCATCATGAGCAACTCATCCAGAGAGAAAGAGAGAGAAAGAGTCCGAAAGAGTGAGAGAGAGAATCAACATTCATATAAATCTACAAACTGAGTCAGTATAGTTTAGACATTTGATTCCAGACGCCGTAGAGTGAACATCAAAGTGTAAAAGCTTGAAGTGTAACTTGAAGTGCAGTGATACGAATATTATTCAGTGCGACTTAGTGAAAGTGCAGTGTTTTCACACTACCACGAGAGATAGTTTTTTTCAGAACTGCTGTGTGCGAAAGCACACGTTAAAAAGAATTCAATTAAATAAAAAAAATTTACATTTCAGACCTAGTCAACGGCTTCATTGAAAAATGGAGCACGGAAATGAATATCTTAAGGAGGAGATCATCCAGGAGCTGGAGAATGAAAATAGATAATTATGGGCAATAAACAAAAGATACGAGGAAGACATCAACACTATGAAAGAGGTAATAGAGAGCATGAGACGCAGGATAGATAACATCCAAGCAGAAAAGGAAGACAACAAAGACAAGGAAAAGCAGAAGCAGAAGGAAGACAGCAAGGATCAAGGAAAAAACATTCCTGAACAAGGGAATGGTCCCTGAAAAAAGGGAGAAAAATGCAGATCCACGAGCAATCAAGCGGCCAAGAGCCCCAGAGGTAAGCTTCGAAACAGAATCAGAAGACGGTTTCCAACGCGTGGAAACGAAGAAAAGCCGGAAAACGCGAAGACGACTGGAAAGGGATGAAAGAAAGCCACGTGAACATGGAGACAAAGATGTAAACGGTAACCATAGAAACAGGGTTACCAATAACGGAAACACCGACCATAGACGACACACGTGAACAAACAGAGATAACAACGCACAAAACACCAGAAGTTCCAGTATGGCCACAAGTCAGACCAAACAGAAACGAACAAACTCTGCCAACCCCATCGAGTTCGGATTCCAATTCTAACACGAACACAAACCCGATAAACCCTGCAAAACCGCCACCAGTCGTGATGCACGACACCAAAAGGTGGAATGGGGTTTCCATGGAGCTGGAAAAGAAGAGAATACCATACATCAGGGCCAGGCTGACGAAAGATCGCATCTGCACACACACCGATGACGAAGAAAGTTGGCGTAAGTGTACGCGATATATGGAAGACCAACGCCTGGACTTCCACACATACACCTTAAAAAAAGAAGAACCGCTACATGCAGAACGTTGAAGAGGCCGACGTGACAGCAGACCTGCAAAGGCAGGGATATACGGTGATAAAATGTCACCGCATGACCTCGCGGAAAACGAGGAAAATTCTCCCTGGTAAAAGTTCCAAAAGACCAGGAAAAAATATACATGCTTTGGACGTGTGTTAACCTGATAGTGCGGGCAGAGCCGTGAAGAATCAATAAAACGATTGTCACCCAATGCCACAGGTACCAATTCTTCGGGCACGCGCAAAGGTGTTGCCACGTGACAGCCCGCTGCGTAAAGTGCGGCGAAGGTCACGACACAAAAGAGTGTCAAAAGACAAAAGACACTCCAGCAAAATGCGCCAACTACCTGGAGGCGCACCCGGCTAGCTACAGGGGATGTAGAATGTTCCCTAAACCTAGGCAAATACCAACAGCAAAAAACAGGCCTCGACAAGCGGAGAGTCAGAGGCCTCGTCAGCAACCAGCCCAAAAAAAACCAGTACCGAAGGCGCAGAAAGCCGGAGGAAACGAGCTGGTCCAAATCCTAGGCAGCCTAACGACTGAGCAGCAGAAGATCGCGCAAGCGGTGTTAGCTGCTTTGATACAAGCACCCGGGCGACAGTGATGCCTGCACGAGTCCCGGACAGACCAACAATAGGATAGTGGTACCTGAACGGTTTCACCGAAAGAAAAAATGAGATACTGGACTGCTATCGCGTCTAGACAAAGACGTCATGGCACTACAGAAGACATGGATAAGAAGCTGAAAGAGCTACCGAATCCCGGGATACAATATATACAGAACAGACAGGCCAGGAGGCGCGGCGCTACTAGTCAAAACCGACTTGGCGTAACACGAAGACAGAAAACCAGACATACAAGAAGCAGTAGCGGTCAGAGTGAAACTGAAACGCTACGAACAGCTGAGGATCTCGTCGGTATACCTGCCTCCGCAGGGCATAAGACTAGAGAGAATCGATATGGCAGAAATGTTTCCAGACGATCACCCAACAGTTACCATAGGCGACTTCAACGCAAAGTCGCGCGACTGGAACTGCAGAAATGCAAATCAAAGGGGCAGACAAATAGCCAGAATACTAGAAGAATTTGAGGATATCGCGGTAATATCATCGGAATTCCCAACATACTACCCGCGAGAAGATCAAGTCCCTGATATAATTTACATCGCACTTGTGCAGAACATCAATACCACGGAGATTGAAGTACTAGACGGAGGTTCGTTAGACCACAACCCCATCCTATTAACAATAGGAAGAGGTGAAGTGGCAACAGACAACCCAACAAAGCGAGTCATCGACTGGATGAGATTCCAGTGCATCATACAAGATGCGATGGGTGAGATACCACACATCGAAATAAGAAAGGATCGTCTGCTGCAGCAGGCGATCATCCAAGCAATGGAAAGAAGCGCACGGAAAGTCCCAGCCACACGCTTCAATTTCCTAGAGCAACTTCCAGCAGAAACGATAGAATTGATCAGAATAAGAAGGCGCCTGAAAAGAAAATAACAAATTACTCAGGCACCTATGGAGAAAAGGTGCATGCAGAGAGCCAATAGGATACTGAAAGAAGAGCTGGAAGCTATCCGAGATGGACAATGGACAACCCGTCTGGATGAACTAAACACTGAAGACCAGTCTCCATGAAGAATGCCGCAAGTTCTCAGAAAGGGACCCCGACAGTCATGTCCGCAAATACACGACGAGCAAGGAATCGTCTTAACTGACCAGGAGAAAGCGGAAGCATTCGCGGATAACTTTGAAAGGCAGTGCAGAGAGAACGACGTCCCATTCACGGACGAGGTAGACGAAACAGAGAGACAGGTGAAAAAAACAGCCTTACATAAGCAAAGTAGCGGAGCGTGTCATCTTGAAGAGACTCGAAGAACAAACCAGAGAGCTAGGAATCATTCCGGATGAACAATTCAGTTTTAGATCAGAACACTCAACAGAGCTTCAAGTCCTGAGGGTAGTAGACTGCGACCGAAGGCTTCAATCTCGGCCAAGGATATAACACCGGATCCATCTTCTTAGACGTCTCCAAGGCGTTCGACAGAGTTTGGCATGACGGACTACTGGCCAAGATGAGCGATTTTGGATACATAAAACCAATGGTAAGACTAATTCAGTTTTTTCCAGCTGACAGGCGATGCCGTTGCAGAGTAGGAGACAACAATTCGACTACTGAAAGCAGGAGTCCCACAAGGAGCAGTCCTTTCGCCACACCTCTTCTCCGTATACACAGCGGACGTGCCCAAGCCAGAGACGGCCCTGCTGGCGAGATCCACGAGCCAGACGCATGTCACAAGATACTTGCAGCAAGAGGCAGATAGATTAGAGGAGTGGGCCAACCTGTGGAAGATCAGTATAAACCCTGATAAGAGTCAGACGATACTGTTCACTCGCAGGCTTGTACAACTGGAAGGCAACGTCACCTTCAACGGACAAGAGATTTCGTGGACCAACAAAGCGACATACCTGGGGGTCATCTTAGACAAGAAATTAACATTCCAGTCTCACGTACGGCGGAGAATCGGAATGTCTAGACACGCCAGACAATGCCTGACACCTATCATAGGAGGAGACAGAAGCAACATGGGGCTGAAAGTAAAGTTGCTGATGATTGAAATCGTTCTCATGCCCATAATACTGTATGCTTGCACTGTCTTGGGCCAGTGCGCACAGACTTACAGGAAGAGGATACAATCGTTTATGAACGCGAGCNGACGGAGATTTTTGGAACGGGAGTTCACACGTTCGACAAATCCACAGTTTGGCCGATACTTGATGAGAACCAGTAACGTATTCAAGAAACGCAATACGTGTTTTGCTATAAAATACCTTCTTTGGATGTGTCTATACTGTAAAGACACGCTATACTGTATAGCGAAATACGTGTTGCGTATTTCTAAAACTGCTTGGTGAAAATCTCACAATGAAATGTTTCTTGTATACGGACTTTCTCTGCTGAACAGTGCTGTTGACAAAATTTTCGGTACATTTCGTCAATTTCCTCACAATAGGACTCTGCTGTGATGGTTTGGCCCGATTACAGAAGTTATAGTGAAATACACCAGTCGCTAACTACCATACTGTACCCATGGTCTTTTTTGTCGGGTTTTCGTTTCTAAAAAGTGTCTAGGTGACTCGTCAGTGTCCAACCACTGTCCTGAATGTCCTTTGTTGTCATAGAGGATCCAATTTACACGTGACGATCCGATCCAATAGAGGAACATTTTGGTTGCACGAATGCAAGGACAATCAGTTCATTTCCTTTGAACATTGAGGATGAAGTAATAATAATAATAAACGACTAAATAAAAGATAATCTTATGACGAATGGGCGGAGTGTCAGATAAAGCTGTTTTTCAACTCGACCAATAGAAAATGATGATTTCTCGTTCTAGTTGCCATATTTTCGAAAGACCATAAATTTCCACCTTGAAGTGATTGTAGACTACATCCTGAGATATATGCACTCAGTGAAGATGTCTACAGAGGGCCATGCAATGGACTTCAGTTCTCATGAAATTCTTGCAAAAAAAATGCCTCGAAAAGATCATCTTTGGAAATGTCATTAAATTCGCGATCACAAAATTGCCTTAATAAATGTAAATTATTTGAGTGAAATTTATTCATAAATATTCCTGATAAATGAAAATTGGGACATTCTTGATATTATCTCATTTGCAGTTTTTTTAATAACTTCTTCCTTCGATTATTTTCATATGAAAATGAAGAAAATACAAATATTACAAAATTATTTCATTCCCATAAATCAATCATTTGGGACCTCGGCAACTGTAATGACTTCAAGCTCCAGAGGCCTAGCCCAAATTGATCTCTTCTTCCAAATTCCCAAATGACAACTGTTCTGTTTCTGTTTCTAACATAATAAAAACGTTTTTCATTAATATTACTGGAGTTTTTTCGCAACACCAAACCGTTATTTCAAGGGAAAAGTCAAACAAAACAGTTTGATCTTCCTTTTGAATATGATCACTTGGTGGTCGAAGATCCAAAAAAAACAGTTTGATCTTCCTCTTGGAAATGGTCACTTGGTGATCGAAACACGTGTCATAGTGTTGAAATAACGGTTTGGTGTTGGGAAAAATCCCAAGTGATATTCATTACTACACCAAAGGTTCCAAACAGTGCATCACAAGTACATTTTTTATGTAAAAATTTAAATATCAGATCATATCATTGCAATAAATATTGTGACTTCTACATCATTTTTGGAGCATCTTGTCTTTTTTAAGAATTTACTCACTATTTTGTGTGTTTTACATTTTTGCGGAAAATTTTCAACACTTCATATTCCAACAACTTTCCACTAATCTCACTGATATTGTAAGTATTACCAGTTGTATCAATTATTTCCACACTTTTTTATCCTAATTATCAACTTGTAGCTCCCTGATGATGACAGAAACCTTTGTCAAAACACTGGAATAATGATGATTTTATGATAATACATTTGTGGATGTTTTCTGTATGTCTCTTTCTGTATCTCTCTCGTTTCTCTTTCCGTCTTCTGTTCCTCAAGTTGCCTTTCCCCTTTCACGCCCTTTTCCTCTCACAATCTTTCTTCATTTTCAGAAACTCTATATTTGTCAATCTGGTTTTGCAAATTTTTTCATAATGATACTGACCATTCCAAATGTATTCCCGAACAAAAAATTCTCTCATAATTTCTTTTACAGAATGAAGAAGATTTACTCGCAAGTTGACAAAACTTCTAACGTCCTACAATATTTCCTTTTGAGAGAGTGGGGCATAGATAATGACAATGTGAAAGAGTTATGGAGTAAACTGAGTACTGAAGATAGAATAGTATTCAACTTTGATATCGATTCCATTGATATTGAAAATTACTTCAGAAACATGGCAATTTGCTTGAAAAAATTCATTCTGAAAGAAGATATAACTAAACTGGAACTACACAGAAAACGACATGATAGGTGAATATTCCAGAATAGGATATTGTTATTTTAATTTTTCGTTTCATTGAAAGGAAAAACTTTTGTGTTGTTGAGTTTTTCGTAAGTTAATTCAATATAAGAAATCGAAACATTTCAAGAAATCCAAACACTCATAATGTCTCACTCATTTACACAACACTACTCGCCATCAGAAAAAAAGTTACTTGTCAATTAGCCTATACTTATGTTCTCTAGAATTTGCCAGAAATATCAAACATCTATTCGTCCTATCGTTTGCGAAATGTGATCTAGAATTTAAAAATGGTTCAAAGAAATCTTAGCAATATTTATGTAATAATATATTGGGCGACTTCAAACGTCCAGAAGTTGCACATTTCATATTATGGGATGTTTTTGAATCTGAAAACAAAATTCGTTTGGCAGTAACGAATGACCTCATCTCTTTAGGAGACAACAACTTGAGCTGTGCAACATGAACATTTCCTCACAACAATACCACTTTCATTGTCATTCATTGCTGGGATACGTTTCGTTCGACAGTTTGAAATTTTAGATTTGAATGACAGCTATTTTGATACAAATTTCAAAATTTGTATCATCGTCGTATCATCATCTAATAATTTCGAGAATTCGATTGGTTTTAACTGGTGACTTTTAACTTTCGAAGCATGTTGTGTAGAAAATAATTTGATTTAAAGAGGTGGATGACTCATTGAATAAATTCTTCAACAAAATAGGATTATGTAAATAATCTTGCCCTTCTATAAATCCTTCCGTTGTAACAGAATTCCTAACTTCTTTGAAAACCAACGAACATGTCAACTGAATTCTCTTTCATTTGTAAGAAATTTTCAATATTATTTAGTTTGACAGGAATATCCTAATGTATTTTGCAGTGAATGTATGATTTTATTTACATTTTGTGACATTATAAGAAGAGAACGAACTACTTTTCTAGCATCACCTTTCAGCCACATCACTAATCTTATTTAGTTTTCTTTGTCAGAATAACTACAAAACGCATTTGAAGTTGATGAATAAAATAAGACCAACCAGCAGGATTGCCGTCGAACATAGGCAGTTTCTTGAAATCTTGGTGATATTACTTTTTCAGTGATATGATTTTGACCAATTATCACTCACCTCTGGTTTCACAACTTCAGTTAGATAATTTAATTTTCGTCGTTAATACCCAATATGTATTTTCATGGAAGTCGACCTTGTACTCTGCGTACAGCTTTTTGGCCTATCAGTTTCAGGATTGATTGTTGATTCATTACATCTTGCTCTTTCTTTAAAACTTTTTTTTCTTGAGCTCATTACTGCTCTTCGAATCTGCTTATCTGCTTCTACTGTTGATTTCTTCAGTATAGTTTGTATAAAGAAAATTATCATCAGAACGAGCGTCTTTGAGAGTCAACTTTTTATTTAATCTACCACTGCGTCTGACATGAGACTTTGACAGTACATTCATTTTTACCTTGATATTTGTTTATCCTCAGTACTAGTACTTGATGATGACTATGTGTTGTACTTTAATCAGAATTGTGCTTTATTGATACAGGAATTTGAAAAACCAAAAAAAAATATTTTTTAAGAATCATTGACTTTCTGTCAGTCATAATTTTTTTTTTATTTTTCACAACGTTAACTTTGATATGTCAGTGAATATGTCACAACAAATATAGGAAAATATCAACCAATCAACTGAAAGTCAACATTCAGAGTGAAATTAAATAGATAACTGTATCTATGATTAATATCTGGATTCCCAGAAATATTATTGACTTAATGGTTTTGTTTTTTTTTTCAGATTGAAAATTCTGCACTACACTCTGAAATATTCGTTGACAGGGCTAGCAATGTATTCAATATTTAGAGCCGTTACCAGAGTATCTAATCGATATAAGAAGTGATTTTACCCACTGTTGTCACCTCAATACTTCACCTTTCTGCTTCATGTCAATAAGAGGGCGATGAAACGAAATAATTTTGAATGTTATAATTACATGATGCATTGAACAATATAGTTGTTGGTAATTGTCGTACTTGTGTACGACGTCCCGATCACGGACGAAGTAGAAGAAACTGAGACACAGGTGGAAAGTGGAAAGTCATCTTGAGTTCAATCGGGATGGAGCCCAGCTCCCGTACCCTTTCGGATGATTTTTGTCGAAGAAAGACAAATGAGTTCATGACTGAGGAGATGACGGTATGAAGTCCTCAGACATCAGTACCGCCCTTCACGGGATACGCCTAGCTGGCTGGGGAGGGGGGATGGATGAAAAAGCTATTCGTCCGTTAACGGGGGATATGAGGGCCTCATTCGACAGAGTTTCGGGGCCTTTCATATTGGAAGGGGTCGTCTACAGCATAGTATATAGCTTCCTTAACTAACGAGACCCAGGTGGAAATGATGGTACGTAGACTTAGAAAATAAAGAAGGGACAATGAGCAATCCCTGGCACCAACTCTCTCAAGGACGTGAAATATATCGTAAGACGTCTAGCTACTCGGAAAGCCCCAGCCCCAGGCAAATAACATACCGGGCATTGAAAGTTCTACCACGAAAGGATATGACAGCTATAACAAACATCATAAATGCTATACTCAGACTGCAGCACTTCCCATACCCGTTCAAAGAGGCTATGGTTATTCACATCCCGAAGCCAAAGAAGAACCACCTATTCCCAGATAACCACAGGCCAATCAGCTCAACCCCTTCCTCAAGCAAATTGGCAGAACGTGTCATCCTGAAAAGACTAGAGGACAAAACCAGCTACATAGGAATCCTACCAGATGAACAGTTTGGTTTCAAATCAAAACACTCGACAGAGATGCAAGTCCTGAGGGAAGTAGACTTTGCGACGGAAGGCTCCAACTTCAGCAAAGGATACAACACCGGAGCGATTTTCTCAGACGTATCCAAGGTGTCCGACAGAGTTTGGCACGACGGACTTCTGGCCAGAATGAGCAACTTTGGCTACACGAAACAAATGGTAAGAATAATCGAGTCTTTTCTAGCTGACAGGCGATGCCAATGCAGAGTAGGACAAGAAAGCTCAATCATGCGATTACTGGAAGCAGAAGTCCCACAAGGTGTAGTCCATCCGCCACACCTCTTCTCGATATACACAACAGACGTGCCCAAGCCGGAGAACAACTTCAACAAGTTGGTGCTCTACGCGAACGACACAGCTCTGCTGGCGAGATTAACAAGCCAAGCGCACGCCACTAGATACCTGCCAAAAGTCTGAGGTTGTCTGAGGTTTTGGATAATCTGCCACTAAGTATTAGACCATGGTATCAGCTTGACGGGGCACCGATCTACCGAACGGTATAAGCGGAACACTTTCTCATCCAGATGTTTAGGGGCAAATTGATAGGACAAGATTGGAAAGATTATTGGCCACGAAGATCACCAGACTTATTTCCGATGAACTTTTTCCTGTGGAGTTAACTGAAATAGAAAGTGTATAGGCACAAGCCACTTGGGCAATCTGTGATTGAAAAACGCTAGGTCAACGAAAGGATTGAACTTTGCATCCCGCAAAATTTCGCTGGCGAGAATGCCATAATATTCTCCGTAGGTACGTAATATACAACTTCATGACATACTTTTTTCCTTTCATCTATGATCTAATCTATCAAACTTCTATAGTTCAAGGTCAAAGTCGGATTTGGTGTTGGTCAGTGCAATCACTGTAAAACTGAAGACGTTTTGATTTTTGTTTCAAATTCCTACAATGTTTTGCTTCGAAAGTAATCCGCCCTCGAGTTAACGGAACTTGATACAATTCAATTGTCTAGTCATTAGAGAAAATCGACTTCTATTCTTAAAAACATAGACACATATTTCCATTATGTACAAGCACAGTAAACACAGTATTTCTTATTTTTTGAAGAAAGGTCAACAGGTTGATGATGATGATGTTTTTCAAGCCAAACAAACTTCACCTGCGTTAGTTAACCAACCCCAGACGCAAACACCATAGCGCAAATCCGACCCCACTTCATCATAGTTTATAATCTTCAGTTGATCTGAACTGAGAATATAGCCATGATACTTTTTGACAATGGAAGCAGATAATATCATTTGATAATTTCAACTATGTTTCTATCTTCTCATATTGAAGGGTCTTGAAGTTTCACCGTTTCACCTATATAACTTTTTCACGAGAACAAGGAAAACTATGAATATACTTTTATTTTTTTATCTGCATTCTGTGGGAGGGAGAGTCTTGGGAGTTCTCAATTGTTTTTAATATCGTATTTGTGCATATAAAAGTTTCGTCACGATTTTTCAGACAATTCGGGAACATAAGGTATAAAAGTAATTGTGAGGTACGTAGTTCTTGTTGGATTTGTGTTCATTGTAAAATCCGTATAAGTGGGTTGCGGCATTTACCAATTTCTTTGATTTCTACTTCTAAAGACTATTAAGGATACTAGTTTTCGTTCGAAAGAGTATTAATGATACTCATTTTCTCTTACAGATCACGAACTATACTGAAAACTGTCTTATTCTTGTCACACAATCATCTGACTATATAGAATAAAGAAAACAAATTTCTAATGATTTTATTATTTGTTACGACCGGTTTCGGTATATTTTCAAGTCGTAACAAATGATAAACTTAGTAGAAATTAGACAATAAGTTTTTTTATTCTATATTCAATATGAATTTCTACAAAATAAATAGGTCGTCAATCGGACAAGCACCTGACTATACTTTCTTTGATACTAGCGTGATATTTTATAGTGAAGATATTTATATATCAGTGTTATTTTTATATGAATACTATTTATGATTGAATCTTCAAAACTACCCAACTTATTTTGATGCGGTTTTTTTTAATGGAGAGAGTGATCCAACAGGAAGGTTTATATGTATATAACATGCATAATTTAAGTGTTTGTTATCCTTTAGAAAAATTTTTATACTTACCGGAGCGGCCTGACAGCGACTCTCGAAGGTGGTCGTTGGTTTTGCTTGGTTGGCCTTCTATGTTTGTCTCTCTCTCGGAATCTGGGGTCATTGTTTAGATCGCATAGCGCTGGATTGTCGTGCGATGGAATCCTGTCAAACGTGTCTTCTGCGTGTTGTCTTATATATCCGTCTGCGTAGTGTATGTTCAGGTCTAGATTCCGGAATATGTACCTATCTGTTTAAAAATCTGTTTTTTCGTTTATCAGCTGTCGCACCTCTACGAACGACAACCCTCAGAAGTCGAAACCTGTGCGAGCTAAAATTTAATTAGGTCTTACCTTTTAACGTGTGATTCCAACACGGTACATATCTTGGAGCGTTTACGGCGGCTCTTACGCACGAGTTCATGAACGACTGGACAAATTCCGTATAGCTTACCATGCCGAATTTTGCGCAATTGAGATTCTCTCGACAAAAACCTCAGTAGTGACGGTGTACCGATCATGTAATGGAGACATTACCATTTTCTTCGATAAATTCGAACAATTGCTCATGAA